GCCGTGCGGACCAACATCCTGTGCACTGTGCGGGGCTGCGGCAAGATCCTGCCCAACAGCCCCGCGCTCAACATGCACCTGGTCAAGAGCCACCGCCTCCAGGTGAGCCCGCCACCAGACCGCGCCTGCCCAGGCCTGGCGCCACAAAGCGCCTTGCTCCGGGCGAGGGCGCGGGTCCGGCTCCCAGGGCGGCGCGCTCCGGGATCGGGAATGCGCTGTGTGGATCCAGCTTCCGCTAGCCAGCATCGAAAGGGGCTTAAAAATACATAAAATGGGCCAAACCGATGAGGGAGTCCCAGCCGGGGAAGGTGGGAGCTAGGAAACGGGAACGCTTAATAATAGGAAAACACTGTGTCATGCCACTCGGCTGTCAAGCCGGGGCAAGCAGGGGCCGTCAGCCCCTTACTTCGCGGCGCGGGCATTTTACACATTCATCTCATTAGTTCTCACAGCAACTTCGTGAGGTGCAGATATCGTGCTCATTCTGTTGCTGAGAAACAGATTACGCAACGTGGCTGGGTAGTACTGGGATTTAAACCCGGTCTCTGCTTCTAAAGCAGGTGTTTTTTTCTGTCACGCCCACAGTACCTCCTTCCGGCGTTTAGGTCCTGTCGCGTTGTTAAAAAAGATGCAGATCTTGCTAAGCACCCTCAGTTCCAAGTTTTACAGTGTCGATAAAATCATTTTGCTCAGAAATGAGACTTAATGGAAAACTTTAAGAGGGAGCAAGTATAATAACACGACAGTTGTCTGAACATCCCTTCCACCTCATGTAAAATAGGACGGTGATTTTCAGCCTTTAGTCCACATCTGTGGAAAGTTTATTAAAAATTCAGATGTTCGGCCTCGCCCAGACCTATCAAATGATAATTTCTCAATCATTACAGTACAACGTTTCCTTCCACCACTTGAGTCTTTCTTTGCCGACAGTGACATAATTTGAAACCCTAAATCACTGAAAGCAGTTTTGTGAATATGTAGCTTTTGATGGTCCGAAGTGATTCAGGAGAAAGTTTAAATTACCTAGCATATTGCATGTTCTGTCTATCAGGTAAATCCTCCTTGGAAACTTCCTTAGAATCAGGCTTCTGATAAGAATTTAACAGCAGAAAGTTTGAGGTTATAGTCTCTAGTAGGTTGCCCATGAAGAGTAATCTGTTTTTAGCACCAAATAACAGAGAAGCAACAACATTCTCATGAAGATTAGGGACCCCAAACAGAAAATGAACGTAGAGGTATGGTATGCTGACGAAGACCCTGCATGTGGGGCTGCAGTTTTTCTTAGAATGGCTTAGGGTTTCTTCCAGGACTCAGAATCATCTACAGTCTCCTGTCTTCACTTTCATACTAAATTTGAACTAAATTCTTCCTTTTGTAACCATATTTTAACTTGAGTGGATGAGTATATATTTGTAGAAATCCTACAGCCTAATCCCTTGGTTCTCAGCTCATACACAATAGCCATCACCCACCTTTAATATCATCCCCTCACTGGTAGACAGCTGAGGCAGCGTTATATCTCTGAGCACAAATGAAGCTGCCAATCCTACCAGGACCCTCCTTGTGTTGGCCTAAGCATCACTCTGTCAAGCACTTAACAGTTTATATATTGTTCTTTTCTCTGGCATTGCTGTCTGGAGCTTTGTATCTCAAGACTGTTAAGTATAAAGATAGCACTTATTCTTAAAGATTAGTTTGATATATGTATACAATAGGTTTATCTCTAATTATGCTTTTAAGATATGTAAAAGTCAGGAATTCTGAAGATACCAATACATAAAATTAATAGGCCTTAGAAGGAGGAATATATTTGAGGCAAATACAAACTATGACAGTCAAATTTTGACTTGGACTTCATAGCATTTCAGAGTATCAGTAATCCTCCCTTGCTTAAAACCTGTGTGAAATCATTCTTCCAGTTCTAGTCAGATTCATTTTTTAGATTTGTCTGAAGACAGTACAGTGTACATAAGATTCCTTTCTGAACTGAAAATATTGAACAATGAAAAAATGGACTCTTCCAAGTTTTCTTCCTGGGTCACTAGAAGACCTATTTTAGCAGGTATTAACCTCACCCAGATCCATCGTTATTTTTTTCTTATCCAATAGCCTCACTTTCTTACTTTATTCTGCCTTTCTAACCATAGTGCCCAGCAGCCCCTGGGCATCTGCTGCCTTGGTGGAAAGGGCATTCATTTTCTTGAACAAAGGCAGCGTATGTGACAGAATAGCCATACCTAAGTAGTGGTGGCCCAATGTGGCGAATCTGTACCCTTAGTCTGGATCCCAGGTAGAAGGCTTTTGAATTCAAACATTGCTCTTGACACTTGATGTTCTCAAAGTATTGGAAGGAGGAGGTCTGGAGACAAGGGCTGACCGGGAACTACCTATAGTTTTGGAAGCAGTCTGGGCCAAAAACTCTACTACCTGTCAACTGTGTACCTACTTTCTGCTCTGAAGCTAGTCTGAGTATATCTGCTTAACACATTTGTGTAATAGTCATTGGACATTTTTCCTTTTCTTGGTTACAGCTACTTGCATAATTCTAGTTCCTTTTCTAGTTATTTTTTCTAGATTATGATAATCTTTTATTTCCTTCCCCATTAGTTGCTGTATGCTTCTATTGTATTCTAATTTTTCTTCACAGGATACCCTGTCCCCAACCAATTATTTCCTTTTAAATGTAAATGAATAACACCCTTCTGAAGGATAATGGATAAGAGTGGAATTGTAAGGTATAGGGTACATGCTGCCTCTTGGTTTTATGTGAGTTGTTAAGATATTTGTCTATATTCCGTATCCTGTAAGGAAATCTGGAAATACCCTACCTAGTTCAGCCTTGCCAATAGGGGAGATCTACAGAGAAATGAAAGGTGGTGATTCAGGGAAAGGAAGAGTAGGAATAAACAGATATTTCTTGATTGTTAGAGATTGTTATATTCCTTGTGTTTGAAAACAGTGAAAGGAATGGCAGAGCCCTTAACGAACTTCTTACTCAGCAACGTTTACATTTTAAAACATAGTTTAGAGGATTGTATTGTGTTCAGTCCAAGAGTTTGCTTTTAATGATTTGCCAGGAAGGTTTTTTAAAAGCAAAGGAAACAGTTTCAAGTTGCTCTATAGACCATATTGTACAAAGACTTATCATTTTAAATTTACAATAAGACAACAAAGCAAACTAGTTTTCTTGATTGCTTTCTGTGAAGGCCGTCAGGTGCTAGAGTAGCTATACTGCCTTTTTTTCCAATTTTTGCAGGGATTCTTAGAATCCTTTACCCTATCATCTTCATTTGTGTCCTTCCTCTTGCTTTTCTCTTCAATATGTTTACTTTTTTCCATCTTGTTTTTTTTTTTATTGTTTCCTCTCCTGGGTTCTTTTTCAAATCCTTTTACTTAAAATGTATCATACACAGGTACCCCAAAAAAGTACACAAAACATGAAGCATTTTTTGTGTTCTTTTTTTTTTCAGTTATACATACAAAAGATAGAGTACAAAAAGTCTGATAAATTTTGTTCTTAACTGTATGTAGAACTTCAAAATAAAAACATCACTTTCTCACTGCAATTTATGTTTTATTGTGCCATCGTCATTTCTTATCTCCCCTATTCTCATCTCAGCCAACCTACCCTTTGAGCTTAGTGTCTCAGAACGAGAATGAGAAGAAGGCCCAGAAACTTGGTAGAGAGGTGGTGATGGTGAATGCTGAGGAGCCGACCCTCAGAAAGCCAGAGAGGGAACAGTGTCAGTTTATTGGCCACATGCCTATAACCACGGCAGCAAGGAGATTGTTGATGTCCAATGTGACTATCTTCAGTTTCCCATCCTGGTATGTGATACAGTTTTGGCTTACTTGACCACTTGAACATATTTAATATAATGCCACGAGTTTTTACTGAACATTACCTTGTTCGAAACATTCCCAAATGTAACATTAAATACAAATATATTCCTTTCCTTAAAAAGGTTTGAGAAATTTTAAGTAGTTCCATTAGCTCCAACAGAGAAATGCATAACAGAAAAGATCCAAGGTAGTTTGAAGTTACATAGTAAGGGACTTTGAATGTCCCAAGCTAAAGAAATTTGGACTTGAGTAGTATTGGGGTGCTGTTGAAAATGTTTGAGTGAGGTAATGACATAATCAGAGCTATACATTAGAAAGACAAGTCTGGCAAAGTGTAAATAAAAGAGATTGAAGGTCTAGAAATTAATTAAGAGGTGTATGACAAAGTTCAAACAGAGAGTCAGGAGAACTTGAATAATATGTTAGCAGTGAGAAAAGAAAGGCAAGGAGGTGATAGAAGACATTTAAAAAGAGAGTGAATAACTGTCCAAACTTGGAAGCAACCAAGATGTCTTTCAGGAGGTTAGTGGATAAACTGTAGTACTTCCTGACAATTGAATGTTATTCAGTGCTGGAAAAAAATGAGCTATCAAGCCATGAAAAGAGGTGGAGGAAGGTTAGATGCTTATTGCCAAGTAAAAGAAGACAATCTGTAAAGGCTGCATACTGCATGATTCCAACTGTATGACATTTTGGGAAAGGCAAAACTGTGGATACAGTATAAAGATTAGTGATTACCAGGATTTAAGGAAAAAAGTGTTATGAATCAGCAAAACACAGGATTTTTAGGGCAGTGAAAATACTCTGTATGACACTATAATGATGGATACCTGTAATTATTCATTTGTCAAAACCCATGAAATGTACAACACTGAGAGTGAACTCTTAATATAAACTATGGTCTTTATGTGATAGTGATGTCAGTGAAGGTTCATCAGTTATAACAGAGGTACCACTCTGATGGGGGATGTTAGTATGGAACACACTATACATGTTTGAGTACAGGGGGTATATGGGAACTCTACTTTCCACTTAATTTTATTGTGAACCTTAAACTTCTCTAAAAAATAAAGTTTATTAATATTTTAAAAAGCGAAGTGAATAGGTATACAAGAACTTGATAGGGAGTTTGAAAAAGGATAATAAAAGAATTGCTAAGCAGAATTGAAGCTGTATTAGAAGTGAGGATGAATTTTGTAGTGCCCCTGTAGGAAGAGTTCATGGAACAGCTGACAGCCTGGAACATAGAAGAGGGCCATCTCCCTGACATATAACTAAGAAGAATTTAATAATGGTCAAGTGAATGAAGGATTTTAGGGTCTTCTTTAATATTCTCACATTTCATTTTCTCTCACTGATAACACTAGATGGAAAACTATATAAGTTAATTAAAATTAGTTCATTAAATAAATGCTAGGTGAACTGATGAATGCGATGAGTTTGGTGATGAGAGACAGTGTCAGTGGTCATTAAAGCTAGCAGATGCCAGTGTTTTAACAAAAGACATTTCAATAGGCTTGTACAAGGACAGTATTTAATGTAAAACACTAGCTTAGATTAGCTTATTGGCATTAAGTTGGTTGGCAAAAAGCAAAAGAAACAAAAATCTCTACAGCAAATAACTGATTATGTGATTAGCACTATTCAAAGCCCTATACATTATTAATTAAACAACCCTGAAGTAGGTCCTGCTATTATGCCTACCTTACAGGTAAAGACACCAAGACAGTTAATTTTTTCAAGGTCATGGAAAAGGGGCAAAGTAGAGAATTCACTATGGCAGTCCATATTCTAGAATCCATGGATTTAAACACTACCCCAGTGGTTTTTAAGCTAAGGCTGCATATTGGGATCATCTGGGGAGATTCTAAGACCAAATATAGATTCCTTATCCCCATCTAAAACTAATTAGAATACTTGAGGTTGGGGCCAGGCATAGATGTTTTTCTTTAAGTGCCTCAAGTGATTGGCTTTTCACAGGCCACCAGGGTTGAGAACCTCTGCCCTAAACTAGATGCCTTTCTAAAAATGCTTTGCATTTAGTGTATGATTGCTTCCTTCTTTAAGCATGAATACCAAAAGATACATAAAATAGTTTCTGCTCCTAAAGAATTTAGTTGAGACTGGAACTCTAGAAGAAAGTGATAGTAGATAAAATAGCTTAAATTAGGTACTATCCTAGAATTCAGACAAGGATTAGATCTTTAGATCTGAGTGATGAACTGTGCACAAGGGAATGCTTTTTATTAATGTGATCTGGGCTAGGCCCTATGCTAATCTAATACAAGATAACCCTGAGAATTAACTTCTGTTTTGGAAATGAGTAAACTGGCTCAGAGTTTAAAGTCCCTATCCAAGGCTACATTTCTAATCAGTGGTAGAAATGGCTCACAGCCACATTGTTCTTTCCACCATTGCATTTTGCCTGATGGGAAACAGGAGGATGTGGGACAGACTGGGCCCTCAAAGAAGGGCAATCATTCAAGAATGGCTATAGAAGGTGAAATTGGAAGTAGGAAGAATGTTAGGCTGAGTAGGGTAGTATATGAAAAGGGAACAGAAAAATATATAATGGTAGATTGGAGGCATAATGATTGGGATTTTATTTTACATACTTTTTTTTTTTAAGTAATAGATGACATATACAAATAACTTGGGGCATGTCAAATTTGTTATAACATTAGAAGAGGAAGGAAAATTATTTATGAGACCACTTAAATAAAACAAATGAATATGAGTATCTAGAGAGTGTAGTATGGGAGGATTATAAATGAATAGACCAGTGTGGAAGGCATGGAGCAATAACTGACTGAATTTGATATCATTGAAAGATAAATTATGTTGTTTAAAACAAGAATGGCTTCTTTTCCCCTCTGAGTGGACACAGATTCAACAAGATCAACATGTTCCTCTTGAGATTTAGTGGGAAAACAAGGAAGGAGTCTTAACCACATAGTTATTAAGTTCTAACTTCTTTAGATACACACTGATGGGAAAGAAGATAGGTGGGCATGTTCCAAAAGCAATGAATCCTTTCTCATCAGAACACTAAAGGACCAGAACATCTAGGTGCCGCAGCAGCAGCTGAGGGTTGAGTGCATGTCCTGTTGTTTCTAGTGATCTATAGAGAGGTCCATCACCCCACACCTTTCTTTAGGGCCAGCTGGAAGGGTCCTGATGAGAAGGAGTCTCACACCTGAGTATGTCAACAAAGTATGTCATCAAGGACAACAAGATTGAGCACTTCAAGCTAAATTAACTCACCAATTATTTTAAAACTTGCAGCCAAAAAAGTCAATCACATTCTTAATAACAAAGGATTATTATATATAAAGTGCTTAGAACAAGGCCTGCCTGGCACAGTAGTAAAAGCTATGTTAGTACTGGCTATTATAATTATTAGATTTCAAACAGCATGGTGCCTGTATTCAAGCTGATATATAAAAGTTGTGTCAACTAGCTTTAGCTACTCGAAGGGGCAGTATGATGATCAGGGAAAATCACAGTGCTATTTATCAGAAAGGCCTAGAGTATAGTCAAAAGAGGTTTTTTCCAGGAGCTTACACCAAGACACAGGTAGGATAAAAGAGAAGACTTAAGAATGATAAATCTTGAGCCTGAGAAACTGTAAATATATCACAAATAGAGAAGCTGGCTTTAAGGTGTTGATGTAAGAACATCCAAACCTGTAGAAAAATTTTATGAGCTTATTGGAGTTTATCTGAGCCCAACAGAAGTCATGCCTAGAAGCAAACTCTTGACAGACTGAGAAAAATGCTTCCCAGAATGAGTTTGCAGTTTCTTTCATACATTTGGCATTAAGGAGGGAACATAAGGAAGATTACATGAATGTGAGAGAAAGCAAAGCTGGGAAATCTTCATGATTGGATTACATGATAGTTAATAAGATTATATACTTTCTTGAGGGTGATTATGCTTCTGAAGGATCTGAAAAAGGCATTTCAAAGGTGTGTTAACCTAAATGCACAAAAACAGACAGAGATTGTCCGAGGCAAAGCACCTTTTACTAGAGAAGTTAGAGGCCTCAGGTGGGACTACCATGATCTTCCCAGTTAAGAATTTATGATCCTATCACCCTGTGAGGTTATTTTCAGTTAGATTATTACAGAACCCCTTTTTCATCCACAAAGTGCAGAGATTTTAAGTTTAGAATGAAGAGTTTTAAAGGAATGGATAGAAGATTTTTAAACAACATAGTTTGAGCTATACTTTACACACCATAAAATTTACCCATTTTAAGTGAATAATTCAGTTATTTTTAGTAGATTTACATAGTTGTGTAACTGTCATCACAATCCAGTTTAGAACATTTTTATCTCCCTAAAAAGATCCTTTGTTCCCATCTTTAGTCATTCTTTATTTTCACACTCAGCCCATCCTATTAGTTTTTTTTTTTTAATAACTATTTAAAGTAATTTTTCTTTTGCAGGATGGCATAGTAAATCCTACAATAAGAAAAGACTTGAAAACCGTACCGAAATTCTACTGTTGTCCAATTGAAGGATGCCCTAGAGGCCCTGACAGACCATTTTCTCAATTTTCTCTCGTAAAACAGGTATTTTACTTGTCTTAAGTATAATTCTATGCGGATGAAATGCAGATGATATAAACTTAACGTGCATTCTAATTATTTGCCAAACGTAACTAGAGAATTGAGCAGAAAGTTGCTTGTAAGGGCAGCCACCCAGGAGTCTCCCAATTGAAAAAAGTGAGTACAGTGTAATGCAAGTGAAGGAGATGTGGTTTGTTCTGGAGGGGAAGATATATATCCAGCAGTAGATTTGGAGAAAAAGAGAAGACCAATTTAAAGAATGAGAAAATGTATACATCCAGATCTTCTGTGTGAATCTGTATGCCTCCGAGGTCAGACAAGCAAAGGCACAAAGGAAATGTTCTCCCAAGGGAGTAAGAAACTACACAATTTGGGAAAAGAGTTTCTGAAGGGGCTACCTTAAGAGGAGGGAGGAGCCCAACAACAGGGAAAAGAGGATATCCAGGACAGGAGGAGATTTGGAGCTGAAATACTTCCCTGAGGGTTTGCCGGAAGGGGTCTTGTGAAATGCTTTGCAAAGACTTTTTTTCTGCCTGCAGCACTTATTTGTAGATCAGAACCTAAAGCCTGGGTACCGTGGATTGTTTCCAAAACAGTCACCTCACTTCACAAAGCCAAAGTTATAGAAGAAGCATATGACTACTGTTGGCCTGCTTTTACATTCTTTTGATTTGGACTGCTGTGTTTTAGCATGTAAAATCATTGTTAATCTGGGTATATTGATGGTCTTTGAAATGTTTTGAGCAGTTGCAGTTTTTCATTCTGATCCCTTTGTCTTCTTCCTAGCACTTTATGAAAATGCACGCTGAAAAGAAGCATAAATGTAGTAAGTGCAGCAATTCGTATGGTACTGAATGGGACTTGAAAAGACATGCAGAGGATTGTGGCAAGACCTTCCAGTGCACGTGTGGCTGTCCTTATGCCAGTAGAACTGCATTACAGTCCCATATCTACCGAACTGGCCATGAGATCCCTGCAGAACATAGGTAAAGAGGAAGAAATAGTGGGAAGAGTTTCAAATGAAACTTCCTGGAAAGTTGTTAGTGTAGGAATAAAGGAGGAATAATGGAGAGAAGATGTGACGTAGAAGAAGAGAACTTTCGGAAATGGCAGCAGTACTAGTAAAGGATCCATGTCTACTTGACCCAGTTCTTCCTTATTCTTTCTGCCAGCTCCTTTTGAGGGTCCCTTATCATGAAACTGTACTTCATTTTAAAGGTCAAATTTATATTTGGGGTAATAGTTTCCTACTTTAGAAATGATCAAATCTGTTAGCTTCCTTATGCTTGCAGATCTAAGTTGAATTCTCATACTTAGAGCTTAACCTACCCCCACAAAAAATAGGTATGCTTCCACCTTCCTTGTTTGTGTTCCTGAACTTATACCTACTATATAGTAGGCCCAGTTCTTCAAATGGTTGCAAAAGAAGGGGTTTTTCTTCACTGGGTTGAATCTGACTACTTTCTCTATTCATTGTTGTTGTTCTCAGGGATCCACCTAGTAAGAAAAGGAAAATGGAAAACTGCCTGCACAACCAGAAGTTATCCGGTAAGACCATTGACTCATTGAGCAACCAACCAACCCCAAGACCAGACACTCAAGAATTAGAAACTTCAGAAATAAAGCTAGTCACTTCCTTTGAAGATTCTTGTGGCTCTAATGCCAGAAAGCAAACTCTTACATCATCAGCTCCAAAATATCCTCAGAAGTTGCTTTTACCAAAGCCTAAAGTGGCTTTGGTTAAACTACCTGTCATGCAGTTTTCCCCCATGCCTGTCTTTGTGCCTACAGCTGACTCCTCGGCCCAGCCTGTGGTGTTAGGTGTCGATCATCAGGGCTCTGCCCCGGGTGCTGTGCACTTACTGCCCTTGTCAATAGGAACTCTGATCCTCGGCCTTGATTCAGAGGCCTGCTCTCTTAAGGAGAGCCTCCCTCTTTCAAAAATTGGAAATCCTGTTGCTGTTGAGCCAATTAGTACAGGTGTTCAAGTGAACTTGGGTAAAAGTCTGACTAATCCTCTACAAGAACTAGGAAACACATGTCAAAAGAACAGCATTTCTTCAATCAATGTTCAGACAGATCTGTCTTATGCCATGCAACACTTTATACCTTCTGCACAGTGGGTGAGCCCTGATTCCTCTGTATCATCTTGTTCTCAAACTGATTTGACGTTTGGTTCTCAAGTTTCTCTTCCCATTAGTGTTCATACTCAAACGTTTTTGCCCAGTTCTAAGGTAACTTCATCTATAGCTGCTCAGACTGATGTGTTTTTAGATGCCTGTTTCCAGTCAGGTGGGATCTCCAGAGAAACTCAAACCAGTGGAATGCAAAATCCGACAGATGACCGAGTACAGATGAACCAAGCTGTAATGTGTGGAGACATTTTTGAGAGTGTCCATTCGTCATACGATGTTTCTACAGACAATATTATAAGCAACAGCTTAGTAGCAGAGACTGTAACTCATGGCTTGTTACCTCAGGACCATCCCAAGACTTTAAATCAAGATATTGAGAAATCTGCACCAATTATAAACTTTTGTGCACAAAACAGTATACTTCCTTCACAGAACATGACAGATAACCAGACCCAAACTATAGATTTATTAAGTGATTTAGAAAACATCCTATCAAGTAATATGCCTGGTCAGACACTGGACAATCGTAGTCTTCTGTCTGACACGAGTACTGGACCTGACACCCAGCTCGCATCTGGCCCAACCCAGAATCCCGCAATTGATTTTGATATTGAAGAGTTCTTTTCAGCCTCAAATATCCAGACTCAAACTGAAGAGAGTGAGCTTAGCACCATGACTACTGAGCCAGTCTTAGAATCACTAGACATAGAGACCCAAACTGACTTTTTACTCGCAGACACCTCTGTCCAGTCCTACAGTTGTAGGGGAAATTCTAATTTCTTAGGCCTTGAAATGTTCGACACACAGACACAGACAGACTTAAACTTTTTTTTAGACAGTAGCCCTCATCTGCCTCTGGGAAGTATTCTGAAACACTCCAGCTTTTCCATGAGTACTGATTCATCTGACACAGAGACCCAAACCGAAGGAATCTCCGCTGCTAAAAACATGCCTGTTCTAGAAAGCAAGGTTCAGTTGAACAGTACAGAAACACAAACCATGAATTCTGGCTTTGAAACCCTGGGGAGCTTATTCTTCACCAGCAATGAAACCCAAACAGCAATGGATGACTTTCTTCTGGCCGATTTGGCCTGGAACACGATGGAATCTCAGTTCAGCTCTGTAGAAACCCAGACATGTGCAGAACTACACACAGTTTCCAACTTCTAGAAGAGGAGTCCACATGTGGGATGGTGTTTACCATTTCCTCCTGGATCTAGAAAATGGAGAATGGAGACAACAAACAGTATTAACTCTGTTGAATGTAGTTGATATTCCGTTGCTTCGATTCTTTGAGGTTCTTTGCCTTTTGTACTTGTAAACATGAAATTTGTGTATAAATGTGAGTGTATCATAAAGTGTAAGATGATGATATAAAAAGATTGTATTGTGTTGTCTACATTTGCCCTTTTACATGTAGTCTTTCCATCTTTAAAGAAAAGGAATTTCACGCCTTTAAAACCCATCTAGCCATTTAGTTGAAGCCAAGCTTAACAGGTACAAGGGTAAAAACTTTTGAAATCTTCAAAATATTTTATTCGAAGTGTGACTTACATAAATTGCACCTAAAATATTTTTGACAGTACTTGTTAGAAATTCCTGTTTCCCGATAGTAACACCTAAAGAAATCTGATGCTGTACCGTCAGATTTAAACACCAATGCTTAGATGGTTTGAGACTCATGCTGCCTGCAGCTTCATCTCCTTTAACATCTTTTCTTACTTGAAGACACAAAGGAAAACTACATCTGCCTTTAGCTTTTCAGATAGTTTTCATGTACTTATTCTCATCCCTTCTCTACATGAACTATTATTGACACCAATATAAGTATATAGTACTTTCCTCACAAGGCGTGTGTTACTGTAAAATTACTGCTTAAAGTGGTAGCAGCAAGCACTTAGTGTAAATACTGGTCCTTCTAGATTAAATAACAGTCATGCCCACTGTGGACACACTGGGTTGTGGAATCATGCCTGTTAGCTCATACTGGAGTATACCCTACAAACATCCCCTCTCACTCTCTACAGTAGGCCAGGGTAGTGCTCCGGAGCTGTTCGTCAAAGTGTACCCACAGCTAGACCTGAGTTTTGTCACTATAAATGTTAATAAAAATAATAATGGAAAGAAAAAAGGACATTCTTCACCCTAAATTTCAGTGCATAAGCTTGAAAGGGAAGAGTGCAATCAATTATTTTAAAGCAAATCTTTTCATACACCTTTCATCATTTCCTTGAATAAGGAAAGACATTGGTCTAGAAAGAATATTATTTGTGCCTTGAGGATAGCAGTTATAGAATAGATCCATCTTCTGCATTTTGTTGCTTTATTTATTTGTTTAGAGAGGGTAATACCAACCAGTCTGTAAAGAAAACTAGTAAAAGGCAACTGCTTCGATAATTAAGAACATCTGTGTTTTGAGATGGGAGCATGGTTCAAGATGCTTTTGGGGTTTTCTGTATTTAGGATATCCTGAATTCTTGATCATTGGCCAACTTTAAGACAAGTTAAAATCAGTGTAGCCTGTAGGTTGTCTAAGTTTACCAAAAAAAATGCTCTCTTCAGTGGCACATGCTTGTGCCGCTGAAGGCTAAATCCTCAAAACCTGAAGAGGGGACTAATAATAATTTATGTAATTGATGGTGTTGCTAATTCCTGTTCCATGGAAGAATTGTTGGTAATGGACAAATAGCGTATCTTGAGCAATCGAACCCAACCTGGTAGATAAATTTTGCTTTGGTCACAGTTGCCTCTGAATATGAGTTTCAAAACAAACATAAAGCCTTAACTTAGAATTTCATTATGTTTTGGAATCGTCACTGCCTTAATGTTCAAACATCTATTTAAGTCCTCTTAGTAAAAGAGAAATGCATGTTTGTTTATGGCTTTTTGTAAATATAAATGCAGCGATCTATGGCTTTAATTTTTTTGTTTGTTTGTTTCTGTGACAGTGTTTGTTTATCCAGCCAATAGAGTTATTTACAGAAAAATGGAGCATGTAATAGTTCTTCATGTAGAAGTAAGAACTGTTTCCCCCAAAACCTTAGTTACCTGAATTGTTCTAAGATTATTTGTAAAAACAAATTCAGTGATTAAAGAGAAGTAAGAATTCTACCTCTTTTTGTGAATTCTTCTACCTACTCATAATGTGACTTATGTTGTTGGCCTTAATTTTTCACACTCATCATCTTCTGAAAGTCACATCATGAAATGATTGTGCCTAGTTATTTTCATTATTGTTTTACCTTTGGTCATGAAACCATGTTAACAATTTTACTAATAGAAAATGAAAAGATACTCCATTACCGAAGTTTCTATTTTGATGTAAAGTTTTTATTTTGATAAAAACTATACACCTTAGGATTTAAGTTTTTGGAAAATTTATTCAAAGGAAATTACTCTAATTTATGCAGTCATCAGATGTGACCATTTTATAATGGGGTGACTCTTTTCTTTGTAAATAATGTGGTTCTGGTTTAAGAGCATAAAAGAAAGGTTAGAATATAAGTAGTCCTTTGCTTAGTCACTAATTTGCAGGAAAACCAAATCACTGCTTCTGATTCCCTTGCCATAAAAGAAAAATAAAATTTTTGTCGACTTACCTGAAACACCATGTGATGTTCGAAGCTACTTTTGATGGGAAGAAAAATCTATCAGTGTCAGTTTAGATGTGAAGTTGCGTTGTTTCATTAATAGTGGCAAATGGCAGGGTGATATTTTCATGTTATCCTTTATGGCCTTAATTTTAGAATGTCTATCTCAATTCCAGTCCAAACCTGCGGTCTAATGACTCAAAAGAGCACTTACTATCTAGTGTATTTAAATTGGTGCTTCTCAAACTTGTCCTCTGAAGGCTCTTAAAGAAGAACATGTAATTTGGGGGAATTTATGGATCAAGACTGAAGTCTCAAGTATTATGCAGTTTTATTTTCCTTATATCTCACAGTCTATGTGTGTGTGTCCTCATCTGAAGTGTGTTAAAGTGCCACTGATTCATCGATTCGACATTAGGAGAGGACATGCCAATTTTTTGGCTTCATCCATACTGCCAACATCTAAAACACTTTCTTAAATGAATTTTAATACAGTTTCTTCAACAAGATGTTGACTAGTATAATGCTCTTATGGCTAAGAAGATAGTCTACTAAATACCGTTGTTTTACAACATTTACATCCAAAGAAATCTCAGTTGCATGAACTATATTTATTAGCAGATTCACTGATATGTTGTTTACATGCCAAGGGAGGTAGGCTAAAGAGCAAATGGTGATGATTCTCAGGTTGTCAGTCTCAAACATTAACAAATGCGAGTACTACATTTAAAAAAACTAATGTTTGAAAGGAACAAGTGCCCAAACTATGTGAATGTATAAAAGCATTGTTTATAATACTTGACTGGAGGTGTACCAATATTCATTCAGTTCTTTCAACAAACTTAAGAAAAAAACTAAATTTTACATTGCCTTAGTGATAAACACATTTGTAATTTTGTTCTAAATCCACAGATTCAAAAATAGTGAAAGTTAGCATAGGACAAACTTGGCAGGGCTCTTCCATTAATTTTTGGTACTTTGCTCTCAAGCAAGTTAACAGGACATACATAAGGAAAAGCAACAAAAATTAAAACAAGTGATACTCTTAGTTTATCAGTGAAATAGTTATTTCAGAAAATCAAAAAAATTTTGAAAAAATGTATTTCCATGGCAATTTTTTTACTCTCAAAAGTACATATGTTACCTCAAAGTGAACAATTTTATTTTATTTTATTTTTTGCCTAAAAGAATGAGTGTAGTAGCACAGTATGTGTCAATAAGCCCTTGTTACAAGCCTGTCATCTTCTTACTGTTTCTGCTTGCAGCTTTTTACTCTGCTTTCTGGTGATCCACTGCTTTTTCCAAGTCCTGGGTGCAATATTCGGTTTTATGATTGCATCTCAAACATGTTGCTTCTTAGGACCAAATTTGAAACTGATCCCTCTACCATGCTGTAATGAGAAATTTAGTGACTTCAGAAAGTGTAGAGCTCGAGCTGCAATAAAAATTTTGCAGAATGCAATGCATCTGAGGATATTTAACCTTAAAATGCTCCTCAATAACTTTTCCCTATTTAAAAAGTAAAACTTAAAAATAAGATTTCATATAACATTTTTGAGAAACCAAACTTTGGCAAACTATGCTTTAGGAATTATTTACTCTATATTGTCTTAGTTTATGGTCATTTTTATTAGGCTATATTTGAGAGTCTAGTACTATTAATGAATCATAAGCTGGTATCAGTTTCTTTTTCACTTTTTTGGGAAAGATGTGGTGTATTTTAAAACCATTTAAATCACTATTCTCTAATGATATATGTGCCTAAGTAGTAACTCTTCAGATTTAAAGTTTTATAAATAGCTACCATAATTATAAGCTGACATTCCTTTTTCCTGAAATTACATTAGAGTAATCAGTCAAGAGGATTTGGGTGAATAGCCTCAGAACTAAGCCTTCACAGAGTAAAGAGTATCAAAACCAGTGACTACTATCAGGACCAGTGGTATTTATCCCAAATTAAATGTTTCATTGAGAAATTACTAGTTTTCTTCAGAGCACATGCACATTAAAACAAATGAAATGGCTAACACTGCTTTCACATTTAGTGGTTAAGTGAATAATCATAACCTTCCTATAGTGCTGAAAATAAGACTTTACAGTATGTTTTCAAGTGAGCTGTCCTCAAGTTTTAATAAGCAAATGAATTGTTTCTTTTTAAAATATTCACAGGGAAGAAAGGTCTGTAGTTTTGAGCTAAATGGGAGAAAAAGTCATTTTCATGTGTTTTTGTGAAGTAATGGTTTGCCAGTGGTTACTAAGGAGCATCGTACATAGTGTTGACTGCCTCTTAACATTCACACCGATTTAGCACAAGCAGCGAATGTGAAGAGAGTACTGCTTAAACAGTAGAGAATTCCTAATAATGTCATTAAATGTAAATACATTAACTTAACATCTTAGAATTGTGTTAAACATCTTGCCAAACAAGAATGCACATTCTCCTGAAAGAGGGATGAGAGAATGCCAACAGCTCTTCCTGGTGCTGGCTAAATAGGCCCTACTGTAACTATGAGAGAGGGAGTCTTGGAGAAAAATAGTCTTGTCAATTCATTCTAGAGTGAACTCAGGTAGCACCAGAAGACTATGAAGGACCAAGACAAAACTGAGAGCACCATAGGGCTTTAGACCCAGCGCACTTGTGTTTTCCAGGATGAAACAAGCAGATCTCCCACATTTCTTTCACCTCTGTGCCAAGGTTTCTGCTTGCTCTGTAAGTAAAGCCATTAGAGAAGCTGCAAAGGCAATGAATTCTAGAATTATAATTACCTAAACAGTGATTCTCAACTGGGCCAGTTTTGCTGTCTTGGCACTTGGCAGTGTCTGGAGATGTTCTTGATTGTCACAACTCAGGATTACTATTGGCTTCTAGTGGGTGGGGGCCAGGGATATACTGCTAAACATCTTATATATACAAAAAAAGCCCCACTGCAAAGAATTACCTAGCCCCAAATGCCAACAGTGTCAAGGCTGAAAAGCCTTTGGGTTCTTTAAGAAGTGTATATGTTGTATGTGTTAGTAAAGAAGGTTGAGTCTTCATAGCCATATGTGAAAAAAAAAATTAATCTCTTTAGGATTTTTACTGTCAGCAACTTTTGACATGTACAAGTTCAAATTCATTTAGATTTTTTTTTTTTTTAATTTCACACTACGAAGTTCAGGATCCAGAGCAAATCTGATCTCAAATCTGTGACAGAACAATTCATCATTTTGAGTCTCTAGGGATGTTTGTAGGCAAGTTAACTAAGCTAAAATGACAGAATTAGAAAGGACCTTAGATATTAATCCCCCCATTTAGGCAGCAATGCCCAGTGGCAAAGCTGGAGTATTTAAAAAAAAGTCTTCTAATGTTCTCAGTTCCTAGGAAAAAGGAAAATGATTCTATTTTTACTTCTTACACTGGATACTGGAATTTATCCTAAGACCATGCTCAAGAAGATATACAGTAGTTTTGATCTGAGAGATTGAACTTGAAAAGTGAAATTTTCTGTAATACCTCAAGATGACACCAAATCAGTATGAAAAGCATGATATTACTCCACAGAGCATTGATGTTTAGATTGGTGCAGTGGAAATTCAGGCAAAACAGGATGAGGAAAAGGGCCAGGGAATGGTTGGCTCATGGATTGATTAACAGGGTCCCAGGCAAAGAGCCTTAGCCAACAAGTTATGAAGCTGAGTTTTCAGGACTAGTAAAGAGTGAAGATCCATCAAACTCCAAATAACAACTCATCATACCCATAGGATTTCTATACAATGTTGAAGAGCCAGTTATTCATTAAAAGGAAATAAATGATCCAGCTATTTATATTTGATCTGATCATAGATTCAGGAAAACCATAAATTTCTGTTGGCATTTTACATACATTACCTCATCCTCACCACATCCTGTATTTGAAATTGTTCCCAGCTTACAGGAAGGAATGATAGTCTCCAGCCCTCCTTCCTGCTTTATATTTTCCACCCAGTGTTCCAACTATCCTCACCTGGGAGACATATTGGAGCCTTCAGATACCAAATCTCCAGACCTGACCAAACACAATCTCTCTGTTGATTGGATTCTCCATAGGTCACAGAAGAAAATGATCCTTGATGTGCATGCATATGATCAGGATAAAAAGAGATGCCCCCAAAGGGACTTTGAACTCTTAGAACAGTGCCTTGTAAGTTCCAGTGGAATTATTATATCACATGACTGGCTAATAGAACTCAGGCAGAGTTTAGCCTGGGCATCAAGAGCATGGCATTGACTCATGGCTCCAGCATCCCAGTTCGCCTGGCATAGGGCAAGTGTTCCTGTGGTACAGGGACTACCCTGTTCTGCCCTTCCTCACAGCCCCTCTGTTTTCCTTCCCTACGTTGCTTCTCAGGAGCCCCTAAACTACAGCACAAAGTGGAAGCACAAGTAAATTTCTCAATAAGGGCAATGCCCAGAAAAAAAGAACTAAGCTAAAAATTAGGGAAAGCCTCCCTGGGTAGCCAAAGTTCTACATACTTGTCCAAATGTAGCCAGATCTTATTCTGACTTAAAGTCTTCCTCTTGCCCTTCAATGTGCCACCCTCATCTGTCAGGTTGACATTCTTTCTGTCCAAGGATTCTTGGCCCTCCAGCCTCTCTCTTGCCTCACTTAGACCCTCAGCAGCATCCCCAGGCCTCAGCCCAGCCTCACCCAGTGGGTGACCTCAGGCCCTATAGGAGACTTGTCAGGTGCTGCCACAATTCCACTTGGTGATTTTTAAGTGCTCGAGAAAAATAGGAGTTTGGAAAGTTTTACTAATGAGACATTCAAAATAATAGAATGAGAGATGAAACATAGAGCCATCCATGCTTGGTTTGGAAAGGACCAGAGGAACCAAAACCTAATCGAGATCATCGCCCTGAGGTAGGAAGAAAGCCGCTTGCGCCTGCTTTAATATGCTCAACTCCTTAAAACAGCGAGTTCCCCTGTAAGTTTTCTTAGTGACCTAGAACCCTAATGAGGACTGCATTCTAGTAAACACTTAGACTTTATCTAGACTTGGACATCAAAGCCCAGTTTGAACATCCTGAATGGAAATTGGGACAAGGTCTAGAATGACATTATCCAGAGAAACAAGCTAAATCTGGGCTAATACAAATAAGATCCCAGAGGGACTTGATCAGATATTTGAATAATTACCTACCAAAGAAATGCCAAATGAACATTCTTCTGTATGCACAGAGAAATCTTGTACTCAATATTTTGTTGGCCAAATTTGCTCAAAAAGAAGGCTACCATGAATCTTTAATAAATTGGGCCATTCCTTTGTTCAGACTGGCCCTCATTAGTTTTAAATTATTATTATATGTTTACCCCCAAATCTGTAGAATTTATAACCCTATCCCAACGAAAGAGTTTTTCTTAAATATTTTGTTCTGATTTAGATCAGTGTTTTCAAACTGCCTCAAGATCTCGAAAGTAAGTACATCTGGGCTGAGTAGGTGGGGCTCCACCCCTCACTCATGCTGATCCACACTCTTCCCTCCCAAGTACTTTTAACTATTTTACATATTGAGTTTATTCATTATTCTGCTGCTTAGAAAAGAGGGGCTTGAAAAAATACAGACTTAGGTGGGCAGGCTGCCAGAGTTAGAGGGTCCTCAAACAGTACCAGATCCAACACCCCCACCACCCCCACCCACCACGCTGTCCAGAAACAATGGAAAATCAGGGGCTCCTCTTGGGGACAGAATCCAGATGGTTTCTTCATTCAGGAAAGAAAGGGTAGGCGGAACCTAAAAATTGCTTCCAGATTTTGGAGAAATTTCCAACTTAAGCAGGCAAAATATACCTTTTAATGACTGTTGTACTATAATCATTCTTGCATTGCTGGTGTTTCATAAAAACAAACTGACAAAATAAAAATCTTTAACAGACAAGACATTACAAAGACCAATTATGGAAAGCAGATGTTTACAAATACAGTCATCACTTAGGGGATGGAAAGTCCAGAGTTCATAGTATAACCTACCTTAAGCAAATTCAAACTGTAAATACAGAGCAGTTAAATGGTTATTTATATTACAAAATGTTTTTTCAAAGCATTTCTCTACATGGCATTGTCACTTGGCATTTAAAATAGAACTCATTTACAAATATCATTTAATTTATATACAACTTCAGGAAATAATGCATTGGAATAAAATGAGGGGGGAAAGGAACAGAAGAGAGAAAGTAACAGCCCATTTTGTAAGAGTCTGGGGTTGCAGAGTTCCCAAATATTAGATGCAAAGTAGGTCCGGAGGAAGCATGTGGGGTGACAATAGTCATGGTTACATCTTTTTTTCAAATAACTATTCTTAACCTGGTTCCCAAGAAGGATTTTGTGGAACTGTGGCTAAAACTTCCCAGACACAGAGACTAGCATGAGGCTACAACACAGGGATATGTCACCTTGGACACACAGGATACAATAAATATGGTAAACCCATGGGTATATGTCACTTTGGACACATAGGATACAATGGATATGGTATATGAATATACGGATATGTCACTTTGGACGCAAAGATATTCATTTAGACATAGGATGGAGTTTTCTATTAAAGCAGTGTTTCAGATCTTTGTTGCAAGAGAAAATGAAGCAACAGATAGATATCTGCCTGGTCTAAAAGATAAGGAAATAATTTGGTCCAAACAAGCCCAGTACACTTAGCGTAAGGCACTGGGGTCGGGCAGATAGAGCCCTTTCCAGTGGGCTTGGGACTGGCATGGGGGCTTCACCAAGACAGGCCCTTCGGATTCCCCACCATCCACTTGGCTTCCAGTGGCAGAGATGTAAGGCAGGCAGAGGCTGAGACTGGCATTCCTAGTTTGCTTTTGTAAGTGACTAACAGAAGCAGGTAATACATAAATCAAAATGCATACTATGAGGTTCAATTTCCTCTGGTTCTCCTACAAAACAAAGGACAAGGGAGAGAAAGAGAAGAGTGTGAGAGAAGAGAAGGGGAGAGGAGATGAAGGAAGAAAACAGAAGAGAATGGGATGGGGGCAGGAGAGAAAGAATGAATGAATTTCAAACAGTGCTTATTCCCAGGGAGTTATATTGTGGCAACTCAGAGAAGTCTTTGGGTGGAGACAGGAATGACAACTCTGCTCACTGTGAGGGACGGCAAAAGAGGTCTTGAGAACACATTGGTCTCCAATGTTTGAGGCCTGTTTTCCAGCTTGGCCTCCTTGACAACGTACTTTTGGGTGTTCATGGGAGGTCTTGGCTCCCTGGCTTTGAATTTGGTTTTGTAGCTTTGCACTCCCTGTTTCTGCAAAAGCTGCAAGGTAGCGAGACAGTGAACGTTGCTGGGGTTGGGTGGGCACGCCAGGTTTTTCTCAGGAAGGAGGGACCAGTGTAGGCAGCACCGCTCTGGATTGGCCAGCAGCAATGTCCTGGCCCCTGGAGAGGGGAAAGGCTGCCTGCAGTTGACCTTAAGGTGCTTGGCCAGCTCAGCAGGTCTCTTTTCATCTTTCCCGTTAACTGTTTTCAATCCATATTCACAAGCCACACACGCATCCTTTTGCATACTTAGCACCTTCTCTTCAGGCTGCAAGGGAAAGTTCTTACTCTTCTTACCCAGACCGTCTAAGCCATTTGGGGCTGAAGTCTTCAGGGGAGGCAGAACTAAAAGTGCCTTGGAAGTCAAGGAGTCTGAGATGGAGGGACCTCTGTCAGAACCCCCACTGAGGTCCTTGCCCCTAACTGTTTCAGGGACAGCCCACTCTTCCAAGCACCAAATAAACTCCTTTATTTGCAGACTTTTTTTCTCTCCCTGGCTATAGGAGGGAAAGCAGATCTTGCTGATGTCCCTGGTAGCAGTGGTGGGGCCCTGCGGGGGCCTCTGCATCTGGGAGAGGCTGCCTTGATCCTTCCCTGGACTTGCCTCAGCCAGAGCCCCTGACTCCAACTTCTCTGCCTCAGACTGAGGCTTGGTCTCAGGGCTCCCTTGGGAGAGACTGATACAGAGTAAACAGCTACTGGCACTTTCTCCCACCTTCACCTTTTTAAGCTTCTTCCTAGGCCAGATGCAGGCAGTTGGAGAAGTCTGCCCCCAGCCGTGAACCTACAAATAAAGCAGCGTGTTACTCTCAGCTGAGCTGCCCAAACTCTAGCCACCCCAACCTTGGCCACATCCCCATTTTGGCCATCCTATTTGAACTGATATTTTTCTTTAAATAAAATCTTTTTAAAAAATCTTTAATACCCATTTTAGCCTTACTAAGCGATAGTATTTATAAATCTGAAATACTAGTAATAGGATTTGTTAATACTGAAATACTAAGCAGGTATCTCTAAAAGGCCACTTGATGTGCTCACTATATATTTTTTCAGATGTGCAGTAAAAAAAATTGGAAGTATTAAATAAAAATAAAATCAAAACTGTTCATCCTTGTGCCCCACCATCAGGGCTTCTTGTCCTTCCAGGCTCTGTTTACCACACCCAGGGAGACTGCTGTGCGGAGGGTCTGGAAGAGAGAGGATGCGCAAAGGCAGGTCCATTCCAACAGTCCTTAGATGCATATTTCAGAGTAGTTACATTTGATAGTAAACGAAACCTTATAACCTTAGAAAGTTTAAATTCTTAAATAGGACTGTATACAGCCCTGACTTACCTGGCATGGGAGTGTGTATATGGAAAGTCATAAATGCTTAAGGAAGCGATGGGGAGCAGTACACAATACAGAGAATACTAGACAAGGGCTCTTGAAGACATGATTCTTTCAACTGTCAAGTGGACTTGGGTGAGTCACCCTGCCTTGTCTTGGCCTCAATTTCCACCTTTATAAAATAAACCGAGTAGATCAGGGTTTCTCAACCTTGGCTCTACTGATGTTTGCAGCTCGTTATGGACTGTATGTTCGTGTCCCTCCAAATTCCTATGTCGAAACTCTAATCCGCAATGTGATGGTATATGGAGGTGGAGTATTTTGGAGATAATTAGGATTAAATGAGGTCAAGAGGGTGGGACCCTCATAATAGGATCAGTATTCTTATAAGAGGAGGAGATAAAGAATCTCCCTCTCTGCTTTTATGTACCAAGGAAGGCCATGTGAGAGCATAACCAGGAAGAGGGCCCTCATCAAGAACCCGACCAAGCTGGCAGCGTGAACTTGGACTTACACCCTCTAGAACTGTGAGAAATAACTCTGTTGCTTAAGCCCCCCTGCCTGTGGGATTCTGTTATAGCAGCCTGAATTAAGATAAGGCAATATTATTTCCTGTGGTGGGTGCCATTCTGGGCATTGTGGGATATGGAGCAGCACCCCCGGCCTCGACCATTAGATGCCAGTAGTATCCCCTTCCCCTCATCCCTAGTCATGACATTGTCAAGTATCACCTGAGAATCACTGGATTAGACCAATTTCCTTATAGTTCTAAATTTAGGATTCTATTCTTGATTCAAAGAATAAATCCACACAGTTCTAAGTAGAACTTCTAGAACAGAAATCTCAGGTTTCTTGGGGAGTTTAGTAGTTAAGGAGCTCAGGTTCTGGAGTCCAGAAGATCTTGGCCACTGGCTGAGTGACCTTCAGCACATTATTTTACCTTTTGAGTACCTCAGTATCCTTGTCCAAAAAGTAAGGCTGTTCAGAATATCTGCTGCAAAGGGCTACTGTGAGGTTGAATGAAGTGCGTACATGAAACATTTAGTACTGTGCTTGCCAATACCAAGTGGCCATAAATACTCAATGAAAGGTTCACTATTCTCATCATTAATATTTGACCTCTGTTCCACAGTTTTCTATATTTCATTGTTTACAAATTTTTTTTGTCATAGTAACTATTTTTGAAAAAGTAAAAGAAAAAGCTTGCATCAAAACACCGAAGTGAAAGAGACCTAACTCAAGAAGACACTTACTGCTTCTTCCCATCCAGTTCCGATAGCAAACTCATTGGCTTTTTCATCCTGTTCAAGCGTAATGTCACTGATATTGAGAAGACAACAAACATGATTCTTTTCGCTTCCTTCATCTGGACAAGTATAGGTTAATTCGTTTTTTTCTGTGCTTTGAATTTCATTATTTCCATTATTTTCTAATTTAGTCTCATTTTTCTGACAGAGATCCATTACTGTAATTACTGTGATGGTTGTTTAAAGTTTTTAACATCTTCTTCCTGCAGTTTGAAATGCAAATTGAACTCAGTCTTTATTCATTCATTCACTCATTCATTCATTTAAAGAAAAGCTTTATTAGAAGAGAACGTACATTTCCAGAAGAGGAAGTAGGCCTGAGCAAGAGAAGCATGGCTCAAAAGGCTGAACTCAGTTTTTAATATTGATTTTTTTTTTTTTTTAAAAAAGCAATTCAGTAACTCAGGTGAAATATCTTCAAGATATTCAGGAACAGACTGAGAAGAAATACTATAAAACCATCCATTCCAACTATTGACATTATAAAAGATAAGGCTAATTTTAATTAAAGGCTAATGGATTTAATTAAAGACCAAAGTTGGGAGTGAAGAGGAGAGAAAGATATTAGCACAGGCTCTATCGCTCAAGATGGGGTACAGTCTGCAGTAAGCAAAGTAGGTTTAAGCATCCCTACCCTCCACTCCAAAAATGTCCAGATGATACTGTACTAATATCAAGAGAACTAGGGTAGATGTATGTGACTTATGCACCCCAACCTCCTCATTCCCTTCTCAACAACTCTGGATATTGGCTTGAGATCTTTAGGCTTTTGAGGAAACTGGTAGAGCATGTAATCTAAGCTAAGTCAATTGGTTCAGTCTAATTCACTGACTATGACTGATATCCTTATAAAAAGGGGAAATTTGGACAAAACATGCACAGAGGGAAGAGGATGTGAAGAGACACAGAGAAAAAATGGCCATCTGCAAGCCAAGGAAAGAGGCCTGAAACAGATCCTACCCTCACAGCCTTCGGAAGGAATCAATCCTGCCAACACCTTGATTTTGGACTGTGAGCCTCTAGAAGTGTGAGACAACAATCTGCTGTTTAAGTCACCCAATCTGTGTTCCTTTGTTATGGCAGCCCTAGGAAACTAATATAGTAGGCGGTAATGACGGTAGTGGTGGTGGTGGTGATGTGTGATGATGATGATGATACTATCCTTAATGAATGCTTTTTCGGGTTTAAAAATGGGACTTGGCATTTATAATCCAGTCAAAGGGTTAGGAAAGTTGTAATCCTGATTATGAGCACAGACTTGAGTGCCAAACAGCCAGAGTTCCAATCTTATTTATTAGCTGTATGATCTTGAGTAAGTTACTTTTCTGGGTCTATTTGCTCATCTATAAAAAGGGCATGATTATAATACCTTCCCACAGACAGGGGTTCCTCTTGGAAACCCCACATGCTACATAGATGAACTCCAATGCCTAAGCAGTGACTAACAAAGATCCAGCTGAGTGCTAATGAACGGCCAGTGTCTTCTTGAGGAAATCATTACTTGTAATGAGACAGAGTTCAATGGGAACCACACACCTTGCTTTCTCTCACCCCAACGTGATCCCTGCCAGAAACCCACATTTTTCATTTCTTGTTAAGGTAGAGATAAGTAACTTCTTGTAACAATATCTGTTCAATTACCATTTCAGCATTTTCACTTAGGCTTCAAGTGGCATTTTGATGGTAATTAAGTTGTATTTACCTATGGAAGGTCAAATATCTTTGGGCATCTTAATTTTTTCCAATATGACATCAGAGGAAATGAATGAGATCTGAAAGGAAAAAAACTTATATTACAAGTGACTAGAAACTAGAAGTGCTATTTTGTTTACAAACAGAAGCATGATTAAGGACCTGACAGATTGTGCAAACCACCTGATCCTTTCATATTGTGAAATTTCACTACCCAGGCCAAAAAGCTCCTATTAGTATACCTAGACCTTGTTCTCTTCTGAATTACAAATACATTTGTATCACAGAACCCCAAAGACTTAAGACATGTACAGTTTTAAAGGAAAAAGAGCAAGGAATAAAAAGCAAAGCCATTTATTAATTAATAAAATGAAGTTAAACTTGAGGTTATTATAGCAATGAAACAGATACTGCTTAGCAGAGATTAAGTAGCTTCAGAATGTTCAAATCAGTAAGAAAAATGTTCTGTGACTGAAGAATCTCACTGACAAGGTGTTCACTTAGAGAGCCTGCTCAAATGCAAAATGCTCATATTTACTGGTTCTCTAACTTGGCTCACCTTGGAATCATCTGGGGAGCTGTATGAAAAATAATACCCAGACCCCACCCACAAAGATTCTGATTATAATTGGTCTGGGCACAGCCTGGCCATCAGCATTTTTTTAAAATCACCCAAGGTGATTCTAAAATCCAGCAAAGTTGGAGAACTACTCTGTCAGAAAGTTCTTCCTTATATTGAAAGAACACTGCTTTCCCTGCCCCTTCAACATCCTCCACTCCTTGGTCTTAGTTTTGTGCTCCAGAGCAAGGCTCTGTGATGGGAAGCCTTCCCATCTACAGATGGGGTTCAGGAGGTCTGTGATGCCTCTGAAGATGCTCAATCATTTTTTCAGGGAATGGCTTGCATCAGAGTTACAAAGAATTCTATTACTACAAAACTTTGAAGAATCATTAATCCATAGACTGCCCATTGCCTCAGCCTCCTAACAGCCCTATGAAAAAATTCCATGTACTCTTCTCTTTCAGGTTAACCATCTCCAGCACTTTTGACTATTTCTCACATGCCATGAGAGTATGTGAAAGCTGAGGGGAAGCCCATGTCTCTATCTCTATACATCTAGAGAGAGGAACAGCAGAGGCCAAGGATGCAATATTGGGTAAGTTTCTATTTTGGAGTCTGTAGAATTGGACCCAGTGAGGGCACCAGAAGGGGTTCCAGTAACATTTATTACAAATTTCCAAAAGAAATCCAGGTAACAATAATAATTTAATAATAAAACTTACTGTTACATAGTTCTTACTATGTGGCAGGCATTGTTATAAGCATTTTACATATTTGTTATATATCCTACATTTTTATAAGTACTTTACTCATTTAATGGGGAATCATAGGAGCTATATTGACTCTTTATGACGGAAAACAAGAATCATCTCTGAGTCAATAAACACAGTATTCTTAGTCGAATCGTCAGATTCCCACATACCAGACTACAGACTGCTAGGTGTTCTCCGGAACCCTGGTGTTCTTCAAGCTGGATCAAGATGCTTCACTACTAAAACAAATATTGGTGGTCTTTTTCTAAATAGAAAAAAAAAAATCAGTTAGTGGAAAGAATAGTCTTAATTTTAAGTTTTCCTCCAAATTTTATTTTTTTCCTCAAATTTTATTGCCCATTCTTGTCTTCCAGCTCATGTAAGAAATGACAAACAAAAGTATGCAAGAAGCAAAGATCCTAAAAGAGTAGAAATGTGACTTGTTACAAATTATACGCAGTTTTATTTTTAGGGTGAAATGCAGAAATCTGCATTGATATAATACATTGACTTTCTCATAGTAAAATTATGCCTACTTTATAGATTTGAAGTAAATCAATAACCCATGCTATTCTACTTCTCGACTTTCAATGAGCTTTACAACCTGATTCAATTTGAGAATCACCAGTATAAAGCGTACATCAAAGTTCTTAATATTTCCAAGAAAATCACATTAAGAAAACACAAAGATCATAGTGAAAATGCTACCATGGGAAAATGCATTTGCAGATGCAACTACAAAATTGGATTTGGAGTAGGAAGACACACAGATATAGGTGAGAAGGTATTAAACTCTATGACATAAACTACTGAAGGGACTTAATCAAAATGTATAAAGAAGAAAATGTTGACTGAGGTTCAAGCCCCCAAAGTACATGCTTGGATAAACAAGAATAAACCCAATGAAAAACTGATGAAGGAATTTAAGATATTTGGAAATAAAATAACGAAGATGAATGAGAGTCTAAGAAACAGAGCCTATGGAAATTCATTATAATCCAGAAAATACCTTTTCTAGAAGCATTTAAAGACAGAAATGGAAAGGAAATGATCAGAAAAAACAACAGCTCTGTAGCACATTTATTTTACCAGTTAAACACAAGCAATTATTATTTGCTTCAAAATAATCCTGTAAGAAGTATGGAAGGTGTGGGGGGTATAGTGGTTGTCATTAGAGAAAATATGATGAAATAAAAGTGGCCATAAATTCTGTTTGTTGTAAATGGGTATAAGGACATGGAGGTTAACTGTACCCTTCACTCTATTTTTATGTAAGTGTGAAGTTTTCCATAATAATAATTAAAAATATTTAAGCCATCATATTATCAAAGTGGTTCAAGAAATGGAATGTGTGATAATAGTGGAGGTGAGGATATGATGAATTCTGACCTTAAGCAAACTGAAATAAATGTTATCAGAGTAGATAACACAGTCTGTATAATTTTAAGTTGGAGTAAAGACCTTGAATGAGTACTTATTGAAAAAGAAGAGGCACCCAAGAGGTCGGGCCTGTGGGACAAGATGGAGTTCCTGCAGGTCCTGAAGCGCGGGCTGCAGCAGGTCTGCAGCCATGGCAGCCTCCGAGGCTATCTACGAATTTTCTTCAGGGCAAGTGATGTGAAAGTTGGTACATTAATCGGGGAAGAAAAAAATGGAAACAATACTATGAAGACAACAAGTAGTTTTTTGGCTATCACCAATGGGTATATATACTACTGAAATAAATGGCGAAAACACATTCTGGGATATGGATAGAAGCATGGTGCCCCCAGAATGGCATCGTTGGCTTCACTGTATGACTGATGACCCTCCAACAACAAAACCATCTACTGCTTGTAAATTCATCTGGACAAACCATGAATTCAATGTGCGTGGCATTCCAGAACATTAAGTACCTTATTCCACCACTAGAAAGAAGATTCGTAAGTGGGTCCCACCTTCAACACCTTACAAAGTAAAGACAATGAAAAATCATTTAAACATGTAAAATATGAGGCTTTTCAATTGCACCTTTACTGCTTACTATTAACTTGATTTAAATGGTTTGATTTAAAAAAAAAAAAAACAAAAAACAAATGTACAACAAAGGTATAAAAAAAATCAGAGAATAGAGTTTATGAAGGTGATTTAGAGAAACTCCAAAAATAACTGTCGAATTACTCTTAAAGTACTTAAAGTCTTCTCATTAAATTAACTGAATTGCAAACGGACAGGCTGGAAATGCAGAAAAAAAAATAGACATTATCTTTTGGATCTCTGAAACTTTATTATGATCATGCAGTTTGCTGATTAATTGAGAAGTACAGAGACTACCAAATGCCTCTCTGTTAGACATCTGGCAAAATCAATGTAGCTTTAACACCCAAACCAAAATGTAACTTAGAATACGAAGTGTCTTGCTCCTGAAATGAACAAAGACTTCCATTATGCTACAAAGGGCCAATGGCAGAGACATACCAATATTACAACGGAGTCCAAGAATAGGCCACATTTTCTGTTGCTAATCTCGTGGACATGTTGTATAAAAGTTAAAATGGTGTGGGAGGGGGTGAAATCAATGTAAATGGAGAACAATGACCATATCTACTATTTGTAAAATAATAATGTTTCTCAAAAAAAAATCCATGTGAAAAAAAGAGATAACCTGACCAAGAATATGGATTTATTCTTCATATTTCTTTGATCAAGAAGGTGATAATGTAGTTATTTTGTTTTAATGAAAGTGAAGTTAGAAATGGAACTATTTTAAAAGTCCTCATTAAGTTCTGATTTTTATTTTTTGTATTTTTTGTTTTTAGTGTTTGCCCCAGATATGGCTCAAGCTGCCAGGTTCTTTTTGCAAAAGGTTGCTCTGGCAGCCTTACCAGGGTACACTTCAGTTTGGCATGGTTGCTGTCTGTTAGCCTCAGCTACCTAGAATTAGTGTAGATAGGCAAGGTTATACTGCAATAACAAGCAATCCCAACTCTTTTCCCCAGTGACAGAAAACAACAAAAGTTTATTTCTAACACATACTAAATGTCCATTGTATGATGTCATGGACTCTCCTCCACATTATCCTCACTCCGGAATTGAACTAATGGAGGCACTATAAGGGGGAAACCATAGCCAACTATAATGGCAAACATGGGGACTCAAACACTGACTTTAAATGCTTCTTCCTGGAAGTAACATATGACTTTGGTTCCCATGTCATTAGCTGGAACAAGTCATAAGGTATTGCCTAACTTCAAGAAGTAGGGATAATACTTCCTCCTAAATCTCCAGAAGAAAAAGGAAAACAGATTTTGGTGACCAGTGGTAATGTCTTCGTACCACATTAGTTTGGTATTATCAGATGTGACATACAAAGCAAATGGTCTTTATGTACTAAGAATATCACTATCTAAAATGTGGATATTTATGGTCCTTGAAGGAAGAGTCCAGGACCCCTGGAATTGGGAAGTCCTAGATCTTGGGAAGGTAAGACTATGTGACTATAACCGATAATTCTTTTCTTAAATTTTTTTTTTCAATTCTTTGGATTCTAAAATGTATATGAAAATATAAAGGCCTAAGAATACAGTCAGTTTTAAAGAAGTTGAGAGTATAACTGCTGAATATCAACATACAAATCTAGAACAGGATTTCTTGTCAATATTGACAAGCTAGATTGAAAATTTATTAGGAAATGCAAAGGAACTATAATATCAATAACAATTATAAAAATAATGTAGAGGAATCACACTACCCAGTTTTAAAAATCACTATAGGAATAGGAATCAGTATGATACTGGTTAATGAAGAGACACATAGGTCAGTGGGTTGAAATAGGAGGTCCGGAAATATACCCACACAAATATGGCCAATTAATTTTTGACAAAGATGCAAAAATAATTAAATGCAGACAAAATAGTCTTTTCAACCATAGTGTTGCAACCATGGGCCATCCATATGCCAAAATTTTTAAAACTCAAAATGGATCATAGATCTAAACATAAATCATAAAACTACATAACTTTTAAAAGAAAACATAGAAAATCTTCATGACTTAGGGTCAGGTGCTATTCTTAGACATGCTTAAGTATTTTTAATAACTGAGAGCTCGTCAATTTACAAGCTACTTTTTTCATTCCAGTGGCAAAATTTAAGATTAAAATGTTCTCAAATCAAGACATCAGTAAACCTGCATATTTTGCTCCTTTCCTGGTGTTCCTTCTAAAAGCAACATATGCTAATCCTGAAACTAAAGAAAGCTATCATTTTTCAGACAAGAATCTCAAATTCCCTCATTTTAAGAATGCAGTCACTTGTCAACATCTTTAAAATGTAGTACCTGGAGACAAGGACAATACATCAAATTCAGTCTGGCTAGAAGTGTCTATTTTGAAATCTGACTCTCCTTGATCTGAAAACTAAACCTATTAATTCAACAAAGGTGGCTATATTTTTTTAAATGCTATATCTCATTCTCAATGAACACTGAGCTTGAGGTCAAAAACAACTTCTAGATTTTTTCCACATGAATTGTTAAAAATCTGTCTTCTTCACTCTATATCCATGATTTTGATTTTTTAATTTTTTTTCTTTTTATCTAGATGTAAACATCTAAGTGTATCAGATCCTTCTAAAATTTGTTTGTTTTTGTTTTTGTTTTGGACCATTATCCCAGCCCGCTTAAATAATTCTGAATCTGACATCCTACAGTTTGGCCATTTCTTCCCATTCCCACTTTAAGACTTCATTAATTTAATGGACATATCTTCTGTAACTTCATTTAAATCTCTGGTATAAATGTTGGTGAGGAGAGGGTAAAGGATAATGTCCTGTGGATATCCCTGGTACTTGTGTGTTTATTAATTATCCAACCAGCTGTAAGTTCACCTCACTATACAGTTATCGGGCTTACATTTCTAAATTTCATCCACAAGATTACTGATTCATCAATTTAAGTAATCCTAATGAAAACAAAAATGAATCTTACCAAGACTTAAGGATGTTTACATTTATATTGATGTCTATTAATATTTTTACATTTGTCTACAGATGAAGAATATGTTCCTAATTGTCAGTTCCAAACAAGTAGTGGCTACCTAGGGTGTTGTGTTGAGAAGGATCTTAAGATTTGGCAGCCAGAGTAAAGAGTTCTGTGATTAATGAATGATGTCTGTCAGGAAATAAACATTAAAGGTGGCAGCACATGTGCCACATATTTGTCATTGCCTGTCTATATAGTCAGACTACAAATGCCTTACTCTATAGATTCCTACACCTGGGGGTGTTGGGGGTGGGATGTTAATGGGCCAGGAAGGCGAAAAGCCCAGGGTGTTTAAGTCAAAAGCAGACTTTATGTCAAAAGCAGGCTGTAATCCCTCAAAATTCCTTACCATTTCCTTGCCTATACACTATGTCCTCACACATACCCCCATCTTCCTAGAAGTTTCAGGTTTAAAGGAATTTTGAATATATGTCAGAATTTCAGCCAGGGAAAGATGGGTTTCTGACAGCCTCACTTGGAATTCTGAAGGGATGTTCCTGTGGATCCTTATCAATGTGCATTGAATGAAGAAATCAATGAATAGAAACGCCTTTAGTCATGGTAGAAGTTAAATTTCTTAATACAGAGCTAAGCTTCATGCATATGAACTGGTTAAATAGGTTTTGACGATTGGCCTGAGCAGGCTGATCACTGGTAATATAGTTTCTAAAAGGAAAAAAGACATTGGGACTTCAATCTAATTCAGTTTTGGAACACGATTCGGCAGTTAAACCTTTGCGTCAAAGTTAAGCAAATGCGCCACCCAACGTGTGCAATTTGTTCACATTTTCAAGAGTACAAATCATATCTCCCTATGTTAATTCTCTGTGCCTTATGCGTCCACAGAGCACACACACCCGACCTATCGCTCCTAAAGCTCAGGCACTTTCATACCTAGCTCCTCCCTTTTCTTTAATAGTCCCTCCGTCACTGCAGCCTCTTCCCCTTCTACCATGGCCCTTCTTCCTCATCTATCTCCTCTCCTTCCTCCAGCAGTTCTTACCATTCCACAAAAGACGCCGTCTCTTCTTTCAAGAGTTAACCCTCTCCAGCAAAATAACCCCGCTTGATCCACCCCTCCCTCCATTGGCTCCTCTCGCACAGGGATCCGCCCTTTCAACGGCTCCTCCCACTGCCCCGCCCGTTCCCTGCCGCTGCTCCCCAGGCCCCGCCCACTCTGTATCCAGCCCCGGCCCGCGCTACGTCTCCCTTTTGCCTCCAGGCCTCCGAGGGCAGCTTCCTCACGAGCTGGGAAGGGCGTCTTCGTTATGCAGCCCGTGGAGTGCTGTGGGGCCCCACGCTAAAGGTGGGGAAGCGGCCACCGCTGCTCACACCCTCACGTGGGGCCAGCGAGATGGCAGGCCCCTGCACAGTCTAGTCCTCGCCGTCGAGCGAGGGCGACAGTTGCCCTGAGTTACGACGCGCTGGGGGCGGGTGGTGGGCGGGCCCGCAGGTGCTTGCAGCGGAAGTGACGTAAGATCGCTCGCGCAATAAAACAGCGCGGGAGGCGACGCCGACTGACGGTGGTTGGTGCGTGCTCGCCGTACCCTCTGTGCTGCCGCACACCTTCTACCGCGCGTGAGGGGCATCCTGTCCCGCTGCGAGCGCCTGAGGCGGCTTTGCGAGGTATTGTGTAGTCGCCGGTCAGGGAAGTGGACAAGGGGCTGGATGCCCTCCGGAACTTGGAGTTAGAAAGCGAGGGCCGTTTGGACAGGCTTTCCCTTAGAGACCCTCAGGGCTTCACCCTACAAACTCTCTTGCTCTGGGGCCGGATGATTCTGAGGTAGGCCCGGCATTGCAGGATGGTTAGCAGCATCTAGGAGATGTCAGCCAAAAATGTCTACAACTTTTCCAGCTGTCTCCAGATCTCCCCTTCCCCGTGAGAACAACAGTGCTGGCGTGATATAGGCCAAAAACTTCATAGTAGAATCCACTGGTCTTTAACTTTTGGGCGCCTGCTTACGTGACTCGGCAGGACTAGTTTGAATCTACTGGTAGTACCAAGTAGCACTCATTGAACTTGTGTAGCAGTACAGCTCTGTGAAGTGGGCATTAGTCATTGGTGTCTTTTATATAAATGAAGAAAAGTAGCTTCCCGTTCTTAAATTAACAGGAACAAAAATTTAATGATCAGCTGACAGTTTCCCGAGGTCCTCCTCCAGTTCTGTTGAAAACAAAATTTGATACCATCTGACTAGCAGAATTTGTTACCCAGTCATGAAAGCTACTTTCTCAGTTTCTGGAAGTATCTCAAAGCCTTAACTAAGATTTGCTAAATGACCATTAAACTTAACTGGAAGTACATTCTCATAAGTACATGTAGAAGTTGGAAGATCTGGTAACTGATTTGCTTCAAACTAATAGCGCCTTCAAGTTTTAAATATACTAGTAATCACTACTAAAGTCTAGCAGGTAGCTCAATAGCCTGATTGAGTAGAAACACTAAGGGACAAGTGTTTGTCACGTTTACAAAAAGCCACTGTAGGTTGAATCAAGATATTAGTAGTTCTAATACAGTAAGATCTCAGAGTTAGCAAAGGATGTTTCAAAAGCAGAGAAAGATGGAGTCAGGAGAGGAAAACTGTACTTTATGCTCAATTTGCTCTAAAAAATAAAGTTTTAAAAGGAAAAAAAGCCCGCTGAGAGTAGGTGGTCAGTAGTAAAATCATGTTGCAGGAAGAAAAAAGAATTTAATCTTGATGTAAAGTGAGGGCCCTGAGGATGGCAGATATGATTAGTTCTGAAATAATGGTGATTGATGAGGGTAGTTATAGTTAGTATGATTTTTTTAAACTTAAGGTGGGTGGTACATTTTAGAAGCCCTAGAAAAACTGAGGAAATTTAGGAATATGCATGCCTAGGCAGAGCCCTCCAGTGCTTTAAGATTTAATACTGTCAACTTTAAACTACTTGGGGATATAATTTTTTAACACCTCCATGATAGCCTGTTCCATTTGAGTTTTAATTATTAGAATGCATTATTCAAAACCTTTATTAAGCTGCTTTAGTCATTCAAAAGGAATCTGAGGTCTGAGAAATTGTTTAGTCCATTTGGAGTGCTATTCAATGCTTATTATTTTTTTGCAGCACTATAATAGAAATAAAGGTTGAATTTGCTCTATATTCTAAATAGTGAAAGAGCAAGTTGCCATAATATTCTGCTCTTTGAAAAAACTCAGGAGTGGGTATAGTGTGTGTCTGCCTTGGGGAAAGAATAAGAAACTGCCCATCTCTTTCAGAATATAATCACTGATGTACTTTCACTTTAGAAAGGCCATTTCTG